TGGTCGACACTAATATGATTGACACATTATTGTCTGGTCGACACTGCAATGATTGACACATATTGTTTGAATTTTAACCAAATGTAAGTGTTCATATGTCTTACCACTTTAAGTTACAACTGATGTACATTTTAATTTGTTGGCACAATTTTTCTTTAAGACTTTTTAATGTATGCACCGATTTATATATGTAGTGTTACATACCGGAAGATAATATTTTTTTTTTGCATTTATGAATTCAAATAGCTAGCTTGACAATATTTAAACATATGTTAACAAAGAACATAAAACGGTCCTTGTTTCTTTGTGAATATATCACTGGAACAACAATGACAAAAATAAGCATTCACAAAGTGATTTCCAGTTACAGTGAAATAATCTTACTTTGGTAAGTCTTCTAATTCAAAGAAGCCATCACTTGATATTCCATGCTCTGAACCTGCAACACACCACAAAACAAAATGTAATACAGATTAAGGTGATGCTGGTAATGATGCATTCCTTAGATTGTACAGGTGTAAATATTAGAAAGTACATTGTATCATGGAAGTCGGGTGGTGCAGTGGATAGCGCACTTGCCTTTCACCAAGGCGGCCGGGGTTTGATTCCCCAGATCGGATGTGAAAAGGTTGGGGTCACCTGCCCAACTTTGAGGGTTTTCTCCAGGTACTCCGGTTTCCTCCCACACTAGACCCCCCACGCGCTAACATCAAAATAACTTGTTTCATAACTGTTGTAAAATAAATAAAGTTTATATCATATATATATATATCGGATAAAACCCTATATAGTGTTACCCTGTGGAGGTTTTATTCATATCTATCTTGCATGACCATCATCCCCTTTGCTGGATTTTCCTGCAGACCTTTACTTTTGTACAATTACACACTCTTCACTTTGATTTTTATAGACAGACAATAAGAATTTTAAATTATCAATCCAGCTTTTTAAGTGTGTGAGAATTTTATTGTTATTGATTTTGATGTTATTTTTTCTAGATAATTTTTCTCCTATTTCATATTACAGTTGAAGAAGGGCAAGTGTATTGATCTGTGACCTTGATATCAAGCCATGAGCTACGTCTATGAGAATGTTCATAAAACATATATATTGATGTTCCTGCTCCCGCTTTGATAGAAATGGAGTTAACATAAAGTGTGACCAAAGATAGTGAAGCTGAAATAAAGGTCACAGTGACCTTCATGTTCATGTCAGTATCTAAATGTTAAGTCCGACAAAAGATAGTAAAGTGGAAAATAAGGGTCAGTGATCTATATATATATCATGAAATTATAATCGTGTTTTTATCTTGAAGATGGTCCTGCCGATTATGTTTGATGATTGTTTTACTTGTACATGTTATCAGAATTATTAATATGAAGCTAATTAAGACGAAGTCTAATGAAGATGTCATGAAGATGGACAAATGGAAATACAGATGAACCAACCAAAAAGGCAATACTTATTTAAACCCTTTTCACTAAGGTGAAATGCATTCTTCCTTTATGGGAAACTCATCTGAATTATTTGGGTACATCTACTCATTTTCGTGCTATATGATATGTTTATGCTTTTCAGAACTTAAAATTGAAAAAAATCTACATGTATAACAAAATACCACATATCATCATTTGAGTCATACCTGGGATGTCGGGTATGAAGGGATGACCACCTGTAGCTACCAGTATATGTTTGGCGCTGTACTTCTGACCACTGACCTCCACACAGCCGTCATCTGTGAACGTGGCTCTCCCCACTAAAGTCTCAACTTTGGACTGGTTTCATCAACAAATGATATCTTATTACATGTTAAAACAAAGACAAGTCATGAAATTCAAAGTCTAGGTTACAATTAATGACAATTAACATCCCCAAGTAGGTTAATATAAATTGTTTTCCTTTAACTTCCAAGTTTCATATATCTCCTTATTAAGCTCCTTGCAAAAAGTAATATCATTGTAAATTAAATATTACCGAGGTCAACTAGAATGGAAGTATGATGAAAATGTAATCTTTTAAAGTTAATTTATAACTATTTGCATTTGTCTTTAATGGTGTCGATATTGTGTAACTTACTTTTCCCAAATTAGTTTCATAGATTCCATTAAGTCTTTTGATATACTCATCTCTACTCTTCTTCACAACTCTGAAATGAAATTATTTTAATTTACAAATTAAATTTTGACAATCAATTTAAAGGTATTACTTTAAAATGGACCAAACCCAGAGATAGATTGACAGCAATTATTTTTTTCATATTTTTCTTTGATTCAATAATCTGATCTCCTATTTCCTCCATTTATGCAATATTAATGTTGAGTGTTCGTGGCACAAGGAACCTTTGAACCAAGTTAAGTTGAAATCACTTTATCTAATCTGAAGGAGTAGTATTTCAAAGACTTGTTTTATCCTATTTCCCTGAATGAGTCTTGACTCTCAGTTACTGAAGAACTCACATCATTTATATTACATTGACACCCCTAGGCCTTGGGCTATGGATTTTCGCTGAAATCCATTTATCCATGTTGAGCGAGTCGCTTTTATACCCTAACAGGTCCTATCCTTCTGTCCCTAGGGGGACATACCATGTGTTTATGAAAATTAATTTCCCTTGGCTCAGGAATCCTTAACAATCAGACAAAAAGTCTTTCACTCATTAGCCAAAATATATATATGTGTATGTAGACTGTACAAGGTATTATGTACCCCCAGTTAAATCCATTAGCCTGGACATCAAAGCCATAGTCCTTATGTTCCTTTATCATCTCAGCATGCATCGCTGTGTTGAACATAACTTTCTTTGGGACACATCCTACATTTACCTGAAACAAGCAGAAAATTAGGAAAAATGGTTAACATTATATCTTGTAATTTATGTATAAATCTATTCTTTTCGCAGACATTACAACAGAAATGTATGTCATATTTTCTGCCAAAAATATATATTGATACTCCCAGAAGAAAATGATTAAAGACAAATTGTTCAACAAACAGAGAGAAGATATGAACGGAAAGAGAGAAAAGGAATGAGCACCCATTGCACTGCAGTAATACAAATGTGTATTTCTAAATATGGTAAAAAGTAGTTAAGAAGCTCAGGTAGTTTAATACTGGTTTTGATTGTCATAACAATTTACAAAGAGTGGAACTAACTGCAATAGTTTGACACTGTTTAGCCAATCTGATTAAAATCATTTGTTAGCTACGTTAACTCCATACTACGCCGGATTATTTATAATCAACAACAAAAACAAGCACCTGTTCGTACGAGTTATCTCCCTTGGTCCAGTAATCTAAATATCGAGACGATAAAACCTCATAACAAACAACATTGTATCCCCTAATATAAGCAATTAGCGAAGTATTCAAACAATTTGCACAATAGAATGTTATCATGGAATATACTTATCACTGAGTGAAATCTGGTTCGAACAACCCGCCCTTGTCATATATTTAGCCGAACATTTTGGCTGTGAACTTACACACGTGCCTCCCAATCTCGCTTGCTCCACCAACGCCACATTGACACCGAACTCAGCCGCCCTCCTCGCACTTGCAATGCCTCCAGAGCCCCCTCCGATCACCAAGTAGTCGAAATGTTTGACGACAGGCGGCATGACTTTAGTTAGCAGGAACTGAGTGAATCGCATGAGTGAATCTGTTTTGTTAAAATTTTGACACCGGAAGAAAAACTGAAACGGTGTGAGCTGAAACTAATACCCTATCTAATCAAATCCGAGGGGACCGTATCATTAGTACATTTTTAGTTTTGTTTTTGAGATTAGATTAATAATGTTTATTTTATGAATCCGTTAAAAGTAATATGTGTTTATAGATTCAACAGAAATTACGTAGTTTTTAATTATAATCCATTTTCTACTTTTTTTGATCATTTATTATTATTATTATTATTATTTTATATGACCCGGTAAAAGGGATAGGAGTCAATGACACGTTGTTTTTTTACCTGCCCGGATTTATTGGTATACTAATTGGTATTTTCGCATCGTCATTGCATATAAATCATTTTTGATATAATTGAAATAAACCTGGGAGGTTTATTGTTTATTGAAAGCTCGAAAACCCCTATAGATGTCATTGTTGTTGTACAGGTATACATCTAATTGATTTTGAAACGATTTTAAAATAGTAGATGAAAAATGATTACAACCTAGTAATGTTTATCTATAAACACATTTTTTTTAATTAATTCTATTTTTTTCTTTATAAGCCTACTAACACCACGGACTTAGATAATCTAATTCCGCAGTGGCGGATCCAGAAACCTATCTGGGGGAGGGGGTCCAAATTTCCTGGGGGGGTTTCCATGTGGGGAAAAATTGAGGAAAATGGTGAAAATACATGATTTTTAAAGAAAATTCTAAGGGGGGGGGGG